TTTTTTTTTTTTTTTCCGAATGATTCTTTAAAAAAAAATCATATCTATTGTTACTAATATTTTTATTACATTTTCTAATGTTTTGGTAGCTCAAATTCTAGGATTTCGGACTTACGTTCCACCATACTCCAGGATTCGTGGCCAGGCTTTGCTAAGAGGTGCGAATTTCGCATCTGGTGCCGCCGGCATCAGGGATGAGACCGGTGACAACTTGGTACACAATTTTTAAGCTCTTAATCCTAACATGAGAAATTTTGAACCAACATCATTTCTGTTGTAAACTAAATCAAACTTTACCTGGAAATGTTTGCAGGGTGCGCATACTTCTATGAACCAGCAGGTTAATTCTTACACGAACGCGGTTCAACAAATGCTTCAATACTTCAGAGGAGACACAAATGAGCTCCAAAGATACTTAAGCCGTTGTATCTTTTATTCGGGAATGGGAAGTAACGATTATCTCAACAACTACTTCATGCCTGACTTTTACTCAACCAGTTCCGATTTCAACGACAAAACCTATGCCGAGTCTCTCATTAAAAACTACACACAACAGCTCACTGTAAGGTTTCATCAATTATATACAGCATAATCAAGAAACTAATAGCTTACTTGCATATCTTATATGGTTATTTTGTTTGTTCTTAGCGGTTGTACCAATTTGGAGCCCGGAAGGTGATTGTTACGGCAGTCGGACAAATCGGGTGCATACCTTATGAGCTAGCCCGTTATAATAACCGCAACAATAGTACAGGCAGGTGCAATGACAAGATTAACAATGCAATTGTGTTGTTCAACTCTCAGCTCAAGAAACTAGTTGATCGTTTCAACAATGGTCAATTGCAAGGAGCCAAGTTTGTTTACCTTGATACCTACAAAAGCACTTCAGATCTTGCTGCCAATGGAGCCGCTTACGGTGAGCTATACACAAAAATCACACACAATCTAATACATTGAAAGTAAGTCTATAAATTCTAACAATGGCATTTCTTGTACATATTTTCCAACAGGATTTGAGGTGGTGGACAAAGGTTGTTGTGGGGTTGGGAGGAACAATGGTCAGATAACGTGTTTACCCCTGCAGCAGCCGTGCAGTGACCGGACCAAGTATCTCTTTTGGGATGCGTTTCACCCGACCGAGACGGCTAACATACTTCTGGCCAAGTCTAATTTCAACTCTCGAGCTTACGCTTACCCCATTAACATTCAAGAACTAGCCAATCTTTGAATAAAGGAGATCTTGATTGAATGCATATGCTGTGTTTCTTCACTTATATATTTCTTTGAAATAACTATGAATTTTCTTTGTTTTGTATTGTTCCTCTTATTTTCAGCTATGACTACTATGTATGACTCAAATATTATAAGCTCATTACAAATTGTTAGCCACATGATTTAGTAAAGTGGTCATATTACGTGCAACTACAATTCTTTCTTGTATTTTCATTACTACATTTATTATTAACAGATAACTTTAGACTCCAATTCTGGTGTCGTTACATTTGTAACTACTCATGTTAGTAGTTACAAAGTATAATGTAATGCTCTACTCTCTAAAGTGTTTTCATTTAATTTGTACAACTTCGAAAATTGGTTACAAGATCAATTGTTGCAAAAAGTACAGGTCGGTTTTCTAGCTTTGCAGAAATCAACTAAACACACAAAATAGGCCAGCATCAAATTCAGAAGAGAGAAACATAATAGTCACGTGCATCCTGTCATTATTTATAAGACTTATAAAACACCTTTTTGTCTTTTGAAGATAATAAAATCACAATGTATTTTGAATAAATGAAGCCCTTATCAGAGACTTGAAAGAAGCTTGGATATATATCTCAATCAAAGATTGATGCACTTTCCAAGTTTTTTCTGGAGCTCCTTTGTCTCTTTCTCCGCCCTCTCCAGATTCTCTCTCAGCTTTTTAATCTCATCACTTGACCGTTTCTGAACTTCATTTGCCCTCTCTTCGGCTTCAAGTCTTGCCGCTTGCTCTTCACCTAGTTGCTTCTCCAGCCCCTTCGCCTGTTCTTTCAGCTTTGTCTCCACCTGGACAACAAATAAAACATAAAGCTGATTATGAAGTAACAAACATAGCTTTTAGCTCAAGGACAGCCTCAAAGAGTACTGATGGTGCGTTTCTTTATATATTGATCTTATCTCTACGTTTCTACAAGGAGATTCTCAATGGACTGAACCAGCGACTCCCAACCACTAACTAACCGATACAGATAACGCAACTTCAGTTTATACTTGCAGTTTCCTACAATGTGCACAACAGTTTAAACGTTTGTGCTTTGTAGCGTGGTTGGAAACTCTGTGATAAACAGAGATATTGACATTTTGAATTTTCTAAAACTACCTAGCATAAAAACCTTTTAGGAAGACCAGAAGTTACCAAGTAGTAAAGATTTAGACAGAAGTATACCATCTCTTCGATACGGCCGAGCTGCCTGTCATAGGACATCTCTATCTGCTTCTTGAACTCAGATATCTCACTCTTTGAATATCCCTTTAAACGCTCAACCTCCTTTTTCTGATCACGTAGCTTGATAGCCTCCTCCTGAGAGAACACAAAACATCATTAATAAGCATCCTCTGCCTTAAAATCAGATCAAAGAAAACCGAAGCAAATTTCACCTGTAGCTCATGGAACAACTCATCTGTAAACGGTTTTCCATTGTTCTTTCTAGCAACAGAATCAACAAGTGAGAGAAGCTTCTGAACTTGCTCAGCCTTCTTGCGCTTATTGGTAGTCTTGTTATTAAACAGTACCATTCTGTTGCCACATAGCTCAAGAATCTCCTACACAATACAAAAACATGCATAAGCAGAAAGCTGGAAAAGATAAACTTGTTTTATACTTTTGAAACAACAAGCAGCAAAGACACTGACTTTGAGAAACTCAGGGCACTCCTGACCCAAGTAGTCCTCCAACGTCTCCTCGTTGTCTTCCAAATCATCCCCACCGGTAAAGACAATGATCATATAGTCGGCGATCTTACTTCCGAAAAGTGTCTGCAAGTGATAGAGAACAGACTGCTCCTCATCTGTAGGTCGACCCCTCACAGTGAACACCAACAGAACAGCATGGATTCCACCTTCAGCAAGCGTTATGCATCTCACAATCTCTTTCCCTATAAACTCTGCTGCCGTTGACAAATCAAACAGACCTACAAAAAAAAAAAAACTGACTAAAAGTGAGAGAACCCTTTCATGACTTTTAATGAGAAACAAAAAAAATAATAATAATAAAGAGAAGTTTTACCAGGAGTATCAATAACGTTGATGATCTGTCCATCTTCTTGCACAACTCTCTGTGACTCGGATGTGCTAGTCACTCCTCTAGAGCTTGCTTTTGACTTGAACGCTTTCTTGCCAAGAATGCTGTTACCTGTTGCGCTCTTTCCGTTACCTGTACGGCCCACAAGAACTAGTGTTCGGTTAGGGTTTGAGGATGAAGCAAACTCCCAATCATCTTCCATCATGTCTCCACCCATCATATGCTTTTTTTCCTGTAGAAAACAATGAAATATTCGTTGATCGCTTAAAGGGTTGAATCAAAGTTCTGACCTTTGACAGAGTAATCAGATAATGAAAGTAAGAGTGACGATCGCAAAAAAATAAACTTTACAAACCCAAACTCTCAAGTTTCTTCCAATAGAATATTACTTGCTTGCAAAGAGGATTTAAACCCAAAAGCAGTACAGAAACAGAAGAGAACTACAGAATCAACAGATCAAACTACAATAGATGGAGTAAGAAAGAGACGATAGAAGATTACTTGCTTTGGAAAGAGGGAAGCTGAAGCGACGATATATATTTTTAGATAACACAAAAGCGAAAAGCAGATATCTTTTGCTGCAATTTATATGGACTCGGTAACCCTTATATAAATTCATCTCTATTGGGACGTTACGTTTTTTTTTTTTTTTTTTTTTTACAACGAAAGGCTGATCTATTACTGAAGCTTGAGTTGGTCTGGGAATCCAGACCGGAATAGAACAACCAACATACATGAGATTCCGATAAAAGGATCGGGCAGTCTTAGCTAGATGATCAGACGTTACATTTAAGGCTCGAGGTACATAAGAAATCCTAAAATCTGGAAAACAAATCCGTAGTGTCGAGATCCTCTATTGGGACGTTACGTTATCTAACGAATAAAAACAAATTATTAATTTTTTTAGATTAGATAAATACCTTAAACAGAGACCCTCTTATTTTAAACTGCACGAATTTTTTTTAATGTTTTAATTTTAAATTTTATATAAAACATAAAGTTAATAAATCATTTGTTATAGGTTTAGGATTCCGTTTGCATATTATATGAAATTTATCTGAGAATTAAGAACTTGTTTTCCCACATAAATTCTGGTTAATATTTGTATTTAGTGTTAGAAAAAATAATTATATTAAAAAATTTAAACCAAATTCAATCCGAAGTAAAAATTAGAGTGAAATAAAAAAATGAAAATTAAATAAATTTAATCAAGTCAATGACAACATCATACACTTTCGTAAGTACTATTTAATTTTTGTATTAACTTATTATTTGTTATTCTTCTTTCTTAATTATATTTTAATGTTTCTTGGCCGTTTAATGTTACATTATAGGATGCTTGAAACATTTCTCTTTATTCATTATTATCTACGTATTTTGGTTTACATGATCTATGATTTTTAACTGTTCAACCAAAAGAAATTAGTTTGGGTTATTACTTTTATCATGTAATTAAATTATTAATACATACATTTTATAGCCACAAAAAGTTGTGTGCCTGTTGAAAACCATACATACATTTTATGTGTATGTTGTATACCATATATATGAATCTTAATTGTGTGAATAATTGTTTATAAAACATAATTTCTTAATTATAGTTTTGTAAAAAAGGTCTATATTTTTGTGGTGATAAGTCTTAAAAGTCACAAAATTTATGTGCATGTTGAATACCATATTTATGAATCTGAATTATGTGAATAACTGTTTATAAGAAAATTTAATTTCTTAATTATAGTTTTGTGAAAAAGTCTATATTTTTTATGATAAATTTTAAAATAGATAAATAAATAATTTTATTATATGTTGTAATAAGACCGAAGAAAACACAATATTGAAGGTAATTAAGAAGTTTTTAAATTTTAATTTTAAATATACGATATTCAGTATCATATATATGTATATATATATATATATCATTTGAAAACTTTATAAACTCAATTCCACCTCCAAAATACTAAACCTTAAACAATAATCAGTAAGTTTAAACCTAAATCCTATGATATTTTTGCTTGAAAAAAATATCTAAATTGGTATTCCATTTTAGATTTGTACTTTTTCATATGTGTGTTTATTATTATTTTAAATTACTTGCTTAGCATTTTCTAGTAATAATAAAGTTTTTTATCTGATTTTAACTAATTTTATTAATTCATTCTTTATTAATAATATATTCTCATAGTTAAATTTTAATTAAAAATGAAGGATAAAACATACTATATAGTAAAAATTAAAATGTAATAAGATGATGATGAAGCTTGATTTCTTTTGACCAAACATATATAAATATCACTTATAGTGACAATACTAATAATCTACTTTTATGACCAAAAACGAAAAAATATATATATATATATATCAAACATCAAATTATTTTTATAAAATTACTATTAAATAAGTTCTTACAATTTTCCCATTGTTAGGATATACAAAAGAAAAACATTCTATTTTATAACTATTTTTTACTTATATCTAAATATTAAAAACACTATACATTTTTCATTTTTTGTTTAGGATTTAGAAAATGAAAATTACGATCATATAATCATTTACAATTATCTCATGTTTATAATTTCAGTTAATTGTTAAATAATTATTTTTGGTTAGTAATAAATAATCTTAAAATTACTATTTTTAAAATTTGTATCACCACTATTTTTACAGTTTACTTTGTTAATTAAATAATTATTAATTAGTATCATGTTCATCATCAAGTTATTTTTTTAAAATATTATAAAATAACTTTTCACCTTTCTATTTTGGCTACAGTTTAAAAAATATGATAATATTTTGAAGGAAAAGGAAAAATAATATTACATAATCTTTTGAAGTTATATCCTTTTCTAGGATTTATAAAAATAGACTTACTATCAAATAATTATTTTCATTTAATATTAACTATTTTAAAAGTTGCTATTTTAAAAATTCGATTTTTCAATGCAAAGTTCTATTTTTAAAATTTGATATTCTTTTTATATGAGATTATGTAATAGTAATTTTCCTTTTATTTTAAATCCTAAAAAGAAACTATAAATAATAAGTTTTAATAATTTTTTCTTTTCTGAAACTATTTTTAATCTTAATCTAAAATTTGCTATATAATCTTTTACAATTATCTCCTGTTTTAGAATTTAAGATAATTATCAAATAATTATTTTCGGTTAGTATTAAATAATCTTAAAATTACTATTTTTACAATTTGTATCATTACTATTTTTACAATTTTATTTTTTTAATTAAATAATTATTAATTAGTATCATGTTCATCATCAAATTATTTTTTTAAAAATACTAGGTGTTTTGCCCGCACATGCGGGCTTAATTATCTTTAAATCAATTTTAAAAATGCTCAAAATAAATGATTATTTGTATCCACAAAATTTGCCCTAAAACATTAAATTTTTCTACATGATAAAGTTATTCACAAATTTTTAAAAAAACTATTTTTTCCTTTAAAACTTTGCAAAATATAAAGTCTATTTCATTTCATCTTAATTGATAAAATAATATAGAAATCTATCTTTCCATTTGAAAAATTGAATCGATAAATATACATTCAAAAAATTGATCTTACAAAACCAATAATATTAGTTTGGATAATAATACAATATATTTTAATTTATTTTTATCAAACACGTTTTTTTTCCTTTTTAATGATCTTTTATTTTATATGATTAATTCATGCTTAAGGTTTAACTATATAAAATTTAAATTTAAATTTAATTCAACGTGTGAGTTCAGAGGAGAAAAATAACTTCACAAATATATATATATATATATATATCATTATATTATATTATATTATTATATTCTTTTAATAAATAATTATGTATTATACTTTTAAATCTTCTCTTTTGAATTATATACAATTAAAAATTTTATTTTATGAATATTTATTTATGTGTTTTTGTTTTTGAATTTTTTTATTAAAAATATATTTTCCGGATAACAACACAGTAAATATAAGAATTATTCTTTTTCTTTTAACTATATATTTATATTATGGATATTTCTTATCATTATTATTAATTTAAATCATTAATTTAATCAAATAAGTATTAAATTCGTTTTTATTTTTGGCTGATTTATATATTTATATATTTTATTCATTAAGGGTATAATCGATATTTACCATTCCAACTTTTAACGTGAGAGCTCCGTTGCGAAAAATCACTTCGCAAATAATATTATAGATTTTCAAATTACAATTTACATTTCTCTTTTGGCTATAGCCTAAAAAATATGAAAATATCTCTTTTGTTTAGGATTTTAAGGAAAATGAAAATTACTATCAAATATTATTTATGATCTTTCTTATAGAATTTTAGAAAATGAAAACTAATATTACATAATCTTTTGAAGTTATATATCCTTTTCTACAATATATAAAAATAGAATTACTATCAAATCATTATTTTTAGTTCATATCAACTATTTTTAAAAGTTGCTATTTTCAAAGTTTTTATTTCAAATGCAAAGTTTCTATTTTAAAAATCGATATTCTTTTTGTAAGAGATTATGTAATAGTAATTTTTTTTTTAATCCTAAAAAACTGTAAATAATAAATTTCCTTTACTGAATCTATTTTAATCAAAATTTTATTATATTTTTGACACATGTCACGATCTTAAAAATTTTAATTGACACTTGTCGAAATCATGTTAATTAGTAACTTGGAAGAACCAAGTTTTATATAATAAGATGAAATATTTTAAAAAGTCACATGATAAGATTTTCAGTTTACAATATTTATTTTTAATATAATACTTTATTTATTTTAAGTTTATTTGCGTGTATATAATTTTTTTCACATCATATAACCATTCTATGACTCGATTGTTGGGTGAATGCACTATGAAATAAAACAACCAACACAAAAAAGTGTTTTCTATGAAAATATTTTTGAATTCCATCTAAAGAACTAATAATTACACTCTGGTGTCAAGGAATGCAAGAAAGCTTGAATGAACAAAATCGTCTTTATATCCCTGTTATCTCACGATTTTATTAAAAAATTTGATCATGGTGACCAAATCTTTACAATATGTTTTAAAATTATGTTAAGTAAAATGCTGTAACATACTTTCCACGACCCATATAAATGTTTCTAGTTAATGAGTGCAAAGAAGATTCTCGTCTGCTTTGATTCCTTGTTACCATTGAATATATTTTCTTAAACGTGTTTTTTCAAACTCATCCACATCCATTGAATTGCGAAGTAAAAGTCTTAGAGCCATTCACCAAATATTTATATTTTGTAAGCATATGGCTTGTAAACCCATAATATATGGCTATTGTTTCAGTGAAAACGGTTGTATTTGCTGAGAACCAAGCTTTGCATTTTTCTTCCACATGTTTATTAGATGAGATGAAGATGCGGCTGATAAAACCCATGCTTTTGACGCTAGCGGACAATCAAAAATATCATGAGTGAATGATTAACCAGGTTCTCCACATTTAAAATAATGATTATCACATTACAAATGACGACATGTCAATTATTCCATATAAGATGATGTATTTTTTAAGAAAATTAATTTTCAAGCAAAGATTTGGAATTAAGTAATTTTAGGCTTCAAAATATACATCTCAATTTCCTAAAATATTTATAACAGCCCAAATCTAGAAATAACGGTATATTAAATCTATTTATATAAAGTAGAGTTTTCTCTACTTTAATGATGCCACGTCACTAATTGGATAAAGCTGAGAGTGACACGTGTCTAGGCGAATGAAACTTTGCGTTTCGTTAAATCAGTAGAATCATGGGCTTCAACGTGTGTTTTGGGTCTCAACAAGTCAACTAATCTGGGCATATAAACTCCGATCTAATCAACAATAGATCAAAACCTGCAACCGAAATCCTAAGTTCACCATAATAGATTCAGAGAGACGAGAACAAACCGGACGGTAATTAGAGGAACTTGAAGAGGTGTTGATGGTGAGGAGGGTGATCTCATCGACTTTGAGTATGAACACGGTGAGCTTCGTTGAGTGAGAGGCGGCACGATTGGGGGAGATTACCAAACGGTACGATTGGTGCCAGAGAAATAGTCTTTCCCCGCTAAGGCAATTCCGAAAGTGAATCCATCGCCGACCGCGACGATGGAATCTGAACAAGGCGAGTAGTCACGATTATCGTGGCCGGCAGATGTCAGGGATGTCAGCGCTGCCGCGAAGAGGTAACAGAGAAGGAGGTCTCTAGCCATCTGTCAGAGAGTAACTCATAAACTTCTCTCTCCGATTACCTAAGGTGTTTCCGAGTAGTTTCAGATAAGCCTTTTGACTTATGGGCCTCACACTAGCAGCCCAAAACTAAAAGTATGTTTAATACTGTATATCAGTATTCGAAAAATAAATTGCAACCATTATAATAATTGTTGTATTCTGCACGTAATTCTTTAGCATATAGTTAGTCCCTTACTATATACTATAGACCAAAATATAAAGAAAATAAAAATATATATAATAAACTAGCAATAGCAAATAACAATTTAGCCCAAACTTTACAAAAAAAAACAAATAACAATCTAGCCCAAATTTCAATCAAAAACACACACAACATCTATTTATCTATATAAAAAGGGTTTCCTTCACTCCTAGACCATGCACATCAGATTTTCATGTCATTAAGTTGGAGTCTGTAGTGGTGACACGGTCAATCAAAATTCAATGTTTCCATTAATTCTTGAATTTAGTGGGGGTATTATTTGTTTACTACGGCTCAAATACATCGTCTCCAAAGAACTGTATATGAAACCTAGAGAAAGTGGCTGTCGTGCAACAATTCACGTTAAGTCAACTGTCAATAGAAATCCAACGGTTTCACCAGTGACGAACGATTCCGATCAATGTCAGCTGGAAGTCGAATAAACTTCTTCAATCTGGCGCTGTTATGGAAATTAACTTGGTGCATGCATCTTCATTAACATTCACATTAATACCTATTCTTTACTTCTCACACGATCTCACACTCAATGAACCCCTTCACTCATTCCTTTTTGTTAATCCTCCATTATAAATATGAAAGTTTTTTTTCCAACAAAATCATCAGTTCATGTGTCTTAATAACAACACAAAAGGTGATGAATGAGATCTGTTAAGCCCATAGTTGTGCTTAAAAAATTGTGACAGAAAAGTGATAAGAAACGTAAGAAATGAGATGAGAAACAGAATAAACAGAGAAGAAGAGAAAGGAGAAATACAATAGAAGAGATGAGATAACTTCACTAAACCTAAGTTCAAGCCTTTCATTTCAATGTACTTTCTTTTTTCAGTTCAAAAAAAAAAAGGGAGGACATAACTTTTTTTAATGAACCTTTAAAAAAAGATATATTTATTTTTAACTCATAATAATTTCCAACATCTTGGTGTTCATTTTTCATTACTGTGGCTCCCTAAAAGGTTGTTGGCTCTGATCTCAAAGACACAACAGTTAATGCAAACACTTAAGGATACAGAACCCTGTGTAAGTATGCATAATTGTGATTTGTGAATATATTTCAATTACATCTTTTCCATATCGAGTACTGGACTGTGAAGTCAATTTAACTTGGCTGCTTCTGTGTCTCGAAATCGGCTTAGTTTTGATATATATGAGTAATGCATTTTTCTTATTATACTTCTAAGATAGAGTGTGCATAGATCACAATAAAACGAGGACGGTGGACGAATGAGCTGAGTGTGGAAAACTAAAAATGTTTTTTTTTGAAAATAAAACTAAACATGTTCTTACATGAAATTGCAGCGTTGTAGCTTTGTCCAAACATTAACTTATGCCTTATTTAGCACACTCTTCTCGGGAAATGAAATCTGCTAACCTAATACTAAGAAAAACAATCACAGCGTTGACACATTTTAATCAATCCTATTTCGGATAAAAACAACTAGAACTAATAAGATATGAAAACAATAGTTTCATATATATATTTTCTGCAAATGTAAGTCTAAAACACAAAGCCACGAATCATACCAAAAAAAATAATCTTGATCATAAGTAAAGTATATCCGCCCGTAGGGCGGACCGGCCCTAGTATTTTATATAATAATATTTAATGATAGTAGTTGTCGTACAACAAAAGGATTTGTCCACACATAAATAGTATATATGAATTAATTATTTATAAGGTGAACTAAGTTTGTAATACTTGTTGTGCATAACCCGAGATAGCAGAGAATCTGGAAATTGTACTAATCGCTATAAGACTAGATGCAATGAGGTTGTTGAAACTTTTTTTCAACATTGAATACCCACATTGAAGATGTTGAATAATTTGTGAAAATGAGGTGGATTCATTTCCGTTGAATTTATTCAACGGTGTTGAAAGAAGAAATTGGGACTCACCATACCATCTTTCTTTCATTCTCATCCACACAAAACACAAAAAGTTGTCGACACCGGTTTTGTTTTATTTTCTAAAGATAAAATGTAATTGGTCCAAGTGTCAGTAAAGTATTTGCTGTTCGGGTTACATGGATTTTTTATCACATCCAGATTTTCGAAATCAATTATCTTCTATTATAGAATATTTTTTATAAAAAAAATATATCATAATTCATAACTTTTCATACTCAATAAATAGAGACTTTGTTCATTAGATTTGGACACAAGAAAAAAAAACCATTTTAACTATAAAATTGGTATTATTCTCTTTTAGGTCAAAAATGAATAAACAAAAATTACTCTTTCAATACTCAAAATTCCACAAATTTTCCTTCCAATTACCAAAATCTCAACAATTACCAATTTCAAAATCAATCTTTTAACCAATCCCAAAATGTACCAAATGTGAGTTTTCCACTAAATTTTCCTATCGGTTCATCTTTTCCAAATTATCGTCCATACTATAGATCAGTGATGCCATATTTTTTTCCACCACCTCCTTATTCTTCTACTTTCATGGGTAATGAAGATATTCAAAACGTTGGAACAATTGAATTTCTTGGATTTTCTACACAAACAACTCTTGGAGACATAAACGGCCTCGTCGAAAAAGCCCTAGATGGACTACTGCACAAAATTTGGTGCTGCTAGGTGGGTGGATTAAATATGGAACATATAGTGTTGTTGGCAGAAATACAAAAAAAAAAGTGAGTCATATTGGGGACAAATTGCGGAGTACTGTAACAAACATTGCTCATTTGATCCTCCTCGTGCAAGAATCATTACAACTACATCAACAAAATATTGGGCAAATGGATTGGTATTTATGATAATGCTAAACGTATGCAGCAAAGTGGGTGGCCAGAGAATGATGTCTTAGCTAAAGCGCACGAACTATACTCAAGTGGTAAGAATGGTCATTTTGATTTGATGTCAGAATGGCTTGATGTCTGTGATCAACCACGCTATGGTAGTCAAGTAGGAGAAAACACTGGCTCAGGAAGTAGTGGATCCAAGAGAGTCCGTGAGAGTGATGCAAGTGACTCCTGTTCTGTAGGATCTAGTGCATGTCCAATGGGGAGAGATTCACCTAAAAAAGGTAAAAATAAAGATAAAGCCGCAGCTTTGGAAACGGTCAACGAAGAATGGAATGAATTCAAAAAATTCAAGGAGCAAGAGTTGGAACGATTGGAAAAATAGCTGAGAGGCAAGAGGAAGCGAACCAACTAATGAAACAAAGGACGCAAACAAAAAAATGAAGATGTTTTTGAAATTAAGTGAAAAAGAGCACTTCGATGACCGGAGTAAAGAATTGTTGGAGAAGTTAACCAACGATTTATTTGGAAACTAGTAAACCCATTATCTTTAATAGTGTGTGGGTTTCATGTCTTAATAATTTCTTCTATGTTTTAATAATGTGTCTGTTTTATGCTTTCATAATGTCTTTTTTTGTATGCTTTAATAATGTATGTTTGTGTGTTTCCGCTTTAATCATGTATTTTGTTTTTTCTACTTTAATAAATGTGTCGGTGCAATCCGTGACCATTGGTACAAATCAAGGGGTAACATCTCTTTATGCAAATCAAGGGGGCAATGTCTCTTTATGCAAATCAAGGGGTAACATCTCTTTGTGTAAATCAAGGGGCAACGTCTCTTTATGCAAATCAAAGGGTAACGTCTCTTTATAAATCGAAAGTCATTTTCCACATAACCAATAGCACAAATATCTTCTTACTTAAAAACCATTGGATCCATCAGAATTGCCTTTTGATATCGAAACCTACAAAAAACAGTGTGAGATCGAAGAGAGGTATATTGTAAACCGGTTTTCAGAGTGCAAAACAAAAATTGAGGAAGAACATACATCTAGTAGCAAAAGAAAATATTTCAAGAGAGATCATGTAGCAGCGAATTAAAGGTTGATCGATGACTACTTTGCCAATCAACCTACATATGATGAAGCAATGTTTCGTCGACTGTTTTGGATGCGAAAACATGTTTTTCTACGGATCGTTGAAGACCTATCAAGCAGTGAAAATTATTCACCCAGCGAGTTGATGCAGCCAATAAAGAAGGTATATCTCCATTGGCAAAATGTACCACTGCCATGCGAATGCTAGCATATGGTGTTCCGGCTGATGCAGTCCACAAATATATCAAAATAGGAGGCACTACAGCATTAGAGTGCTTGCGTCGATTCTCTAAAGGAATCATACAACTGTATGAGAAAGAGTATCTTAGAGCTCCAACTCAAGAGGACCTTCAAATAATTTTGCTCGTTAGTGAAATGCAGGGGTTTCCAGGGATGATCGGGAGTATTGATTGTATGCATTGGGAATGGAAAAATTGTCCAACTGCGTGGGAAGGTCAATTTACTAGAGGAGATAAGGGAACCACCACTGTTATACCTGAGGCAGTTGCTTCTCATGATCTATGGATTTGGCATGCATTTTTCGGATGTCTAGGAACATTAAACGACATAAACGTTCTAGATCGTTCTCCGGTGTTTGATGATGTTGAACAAGGAAATGCTCCAAGAGTTAAACTTTTCGTTAATCAACGTTCGTATGACATGGCCTACTATCTAGCTGATGGTATCTATCCTTTTTATCCAACTTTCGTCATATCAATCCGACTTCCTCAAAGTGAGCCAGACAAGTTATTTGCTAAATATCAAGAAGGATGTCGGAAGGACATCGAACGTGCATTTGGAGTACTACAGGCTAGATTCAAAATAATTCGTGAACCAGCTCGCTTGTGGGATATATCTGATTTGGCTATCATCATGCAGTCATGTATCATATTTCATAATATGATTGTTGAATA